AAAAAAAAAAAAAAGAACACAACTGTTCATTGCACCTCTTTTTGTTTTTAACTGGCAAATAAAAACTGTATGTTTATGGAGGGGAAGACAAGGAAAGGGGAGATGTCTGTCAAAGAGCACAGTTTCGGTTAGACGGGAGGATCAGCTCATGCTTATTTCAAAACATAGTGACTATAGTTAATATACTATGTACTTCAAAACATCTAAAAGAAAAGATTTCAAGTGTTCTCACTGCAAAGAAAGGATAAATATTTGAGACGCTGAACTTTTTAAAAGTTACATTCTTAAGCTTTTCAAGGCTTGTCTAATAAGTCTGGAATTCCCGCCCTTGGCAGTGCGAGATGGAAGCTGATGTCGCAAGGGTGGCCGAGAAGCAGCTGGGCTGAGCCGCTAAAAGCACAGAGGCCGGGGCCAGACTCCTCAGCCTGAAATCCTGCTTCCACCAAGCGCTAGCTGGGTAACTTCGGGTAAGTCACTAAGCCCTTCTCTGCTTTGGTTTCTGTTTTATATAAAATTGGATTAGATATGGGAAGATAACGTGAGTTAATACTTATAAAGTGCTTAGAACAGTGTCTAGCACATAGCAAGTACTACGTGCTATTTGTCACATTCATTTTTAAGAGAAGAAAAAAGAGAGAGATCGCTTTGGACTGTTAGAGAACCGAAAGAAACTGAATTATGACTCCAGAGTTGGGGGTGGCTGAAGTGTTACTTTCTGTACCATGTGGAAAGGGGAAGTCACGCCCCTTATGATGACATCAGGCTGTGAGGACAAGGAAAGGTAGCTGTGGTTGGACAGAGGGAGGTGAGATTGGAGGAATAAAGCCCCAGCGGTGTTACAGGGACACAAGGCAGCCACAGAAGGAAAAAGTGTGGCAGACCTGCCAGAAACCAAACCAGAAATGAGAAAAGAAAGAAGGTGTCGACGGACCGCTTCTGCCCACGGCTGGTTTCTAGGAAGAAGTCATGTAACTGATGTATCTTTTCAAATGATTTACATACTCATGCCTCTTTCATTCACAACTTGTGTAAAATTAAACGATTTTTTATTCATACTATGGGTAGGTGCTGCACCCCAGGCACTGCAAGATGCATTTCAAACACATAGTCTCATTTAAACACAGTAATATTGCAACAGAAATGCTGTGGTCTGCATTTTACACGTGAAACACTGGAGGTCCAGGAAGGTCATAACCTCCCTCAAAGTCACAGGGCTAGTCAGAGCAGAGCTGAAATCCAAGCTCAAAGCCACCTGCCTCCAGGGTGCACTCACAACCACTCTGAGAGACTCTGCACCTTCAGGTGTTCTGTGGCAATGCTGCGAGGTGGGAAGAGCTCTCGATTAGGAAGTCGGTGGGTCGCCTCTGGCTCCTGCCGGGCCATAAACTAGCTGCTCATTTTGTATTTGAGTCAGAGCAAGAAAATCCCAAGACTGGGCCTGTCATATCCAAGATGAAAATTGTACAGCTCTAGTAAGGAAGAGCAAGAGTTTTAACTTATTTTTATCATATTTTATTTAGTATCTGATTTTGCCAACTAAGGAGAACTTTAACCCAGAGACGAGTGGGTGTTAGTTATGAGGGGAAAATAAGGAATTAGCTTAATCAGAAATGAGAAAGTAGTTCAGTGGAGATCTATAAGAAACAAATTCTCATTTCCTCATGGCTACACAGAAAATACTGTTTCAGAGTCAATCAAGATGAAAATTAAACATGAGGCTGCCCAGGAAACTCTCATGAGTTACCAAAGGAGATGGACCGGCCGTGGGTCTGTGGCTGTTGTTGCTTGTGTGCACCGGGGCCTTCCGCTAGGGGGCAGCACCCTCCAGCTCCCAGGCAGGTGCAGTCCAGTGCAGTGTTGAGAACTGACTTCAGTGCATAGAGGAGAAATTAGTATCTCCTTTGGCCCACACATAAACCCCTGTTCTCCCATCTGGCTTTGATAAGTCATAAAGCAGGTATTTTCACCTCTGCCTCGCAGGCTTCTATATGTCTCTCAATTGACTCTGACCCCAGGAAAAAAAAAGAGATGGCTGTTAACAGTAGCAACAACTAACACATGATTTATGCAAAATTGTGCCCTTGAACTTGGCTTCTTGCAGCATGCATATTAAGTATATTTTAGCAAAATGAATTTTATTGGCTATTTTAAATACGAAAGAGAATGTAAAATGTGTCAATTTCTAACTCCCTGAATAATTCCAAGGAACATTCCGGAACCGTGTAACATTTATACTGCTGTTCATCGACATTAGTAGTCATCTCATCACTCGGTTCTAATGCGGGTCTAGGTCCTTGTGCTGATTTTTATTTCTGTGAATTTTAGAGGTTCCTGTGCCCTTTCTTTTTCCCAGTAATGTGTTGGTATTCTGCTGATGTCCAATTATCCTTTCAGCCTTCTTCTTTGAGAGGGGTAATGTTGCTGTCGTTTTTCTAACAGACCATTTAAATGATAACCTCTTTAAAAACTGACATTTTTATTACTTTTTTGATTTAAGTGCAAGTATTTGAACGTACTTTGAGAAGACATCATTGCTTGTGTGCTAGCTGGGGTTGATCATAAACAGCAGAGTAAGACCTCCGCATAAGACCTCAACCCTGCTTTGGGAATGGTTATGACGATAAACCATTCTGGGTATTCTCACTCTGCCTATTTAGGAAATCATATTTATTTATTTGACATACACTGGTCCCAACTGCTTTCAAGTGTTGTTCCTACTAAGTACAGATTAGTTGAATGGGGCAACTTTATCAAAACCACATGCATAACGGGAAGTGGGAATGGGCCACTAAGAAGCATCTAGAAAAAGATTTATTGGGTTATGCTGTAAGTTTTGTAAAAGGAAACCTGTTTAATATCTGACAAAAATCTTCAAAAAGATCAAACAGGAAGCATAAATGCTACTGGCAAAAGTAGCAACCATAGAACCTTAAACTACTTATGATCATAAAGGTAGCGAGTAGCTATTAAAACTGACTTTCTCTTATTTCTAAGATTCCTTGATATGAATAGAATTCTGATGAACTAAGCTTTCATGTTAGTTAGACAGCACTCTCTGCTATTTGTATACTGAGCATCACCAACTCAAGCCAGCTTTCCAAGATGTTTCTGCTTTAAGCAGAGAATACATAGCTCCTGTCCAGGAGAAACTAGATGGACCTTAAGCAGAAAGTGGAGACAGAGCATTTTAAAGCAATATGCATATAAGCTCAATCTATATATAATGATTGTAAGACATTTATGTCTCCCTTAGCAGAATTAAATAAATCAAATACACAGGCACAAAAGTAGTCTTGCAGAACTTATTTTCTTTTTTTTCCCTTCTTTCAATAACAATTCCTTCCTCTTGTTACAGGTAGCATTAGTTCAATGACATTTAATTCCTTAGATATATATATATCACATTTTTTAATGAGTAGTCAATTATTAGATAGATAAAAAGAAAAAAGGAGAGAAAAAATTTAAAAGCCTAAGTGACTTTAAAGAATTGACTTCCTTCTTGAGTCTATTTGATTACATACAATCATATAGCCCTCACGCAGAAATAATTCTAAGTAATCCAGGCAATGTTTCCCAGCTGATTAAATTTAGTTAACAACTGGTGTTGTGAATCAATCAATCAAATACCAATTAATTCATAAGGCAGCTGAAAAGAAAAGTTAGGGAAAATTTTATATTTTACCCTGGGAAGTACATTTACATTATCAATGTTTATATTAGTCTCATTTATGTTTCCTGTTGTTTTTTAATCTCCACCTTTGATTAATTTCTTATTTCAGCTGCCTCCTAATCTCATCAGTTGCACAAATCAATATCCAATGTTGACTAGTGTCTGGTGAACCCTAACCACGGGATAGCTACTGCTCCACTGTTTCATGTCTTAAAAGAAACAACATCTATTGGTCATCAGAACTGCAACCAAAGAGAATTCTACTCATTTGAATACTCTATGTAGCACGACGAATAATGTTTTTAACAATGTTTTTATAATCATAAACCCAAATTTCATGAAGTTGCTTCTTGTAGGGTCTGTCAATTCAATTCGAGCTTTACATTCCAAGTTCACTATAAGAAAAACAAATGCACTAAGAGACAAAAGCAAGGTAGTCCAGTCTCCGTAACTGACCACGGGTAAGCAGGGGTAAGCTCTCAGGTACTACGTATCTTTACATTCTCTTGTTTCGTAAGTCTCACCATATATATTTCACATAAATTTTTGGAAAAGTGTATCTCCTACTAGCAGTGTTAGCCATTTACTGATGCTTAGCTCAAAATTCACCCTTTTTGCCTGCTCTATGAAAATGGTTCTGAGCCACTGGAATATTTTCACTTTGCTAACTGTTAAAATATTTAGCTTTGTCAGTTAAGGTCACTGGGGAGATACAGCAGGTGTGTTTTGCTTCCTGCCCTGAACAGGTTCCTACAGGGCAGGCAGCTCCCCTATACTCTGAGACTTCTGCAAAGCAGGGCAGCCAGGGGTGCCTGGCACCCAGAATCCTCCCCCTACAGCCTCTCTTGGGCACTGGGTGCAGAGGCTCGGTGCCTCCGGAGAAATACATTCTCACAAGGAGCTTCCCTTGTCACTTAGAAGGAATATTTCCGGTGACTTCCAGAGGGTGGATTTCCAGCAAGTCCTACCAGTGCCGCACCACAGTGACCTGCCTGCCATCCAGTGACATGGGGTTGTGCCCTCCCAGTGAGGTCTGGCTCTCAGCCCTTCCTCGGGTGTTCCTCTTAGGCCTGGGGGAATGGCAGCTTTTTCTAGCTGCTATGCCAATACTCCTTAGAACCCTCTACTTCTTATTAGCCAAACTCCTTACTCCAGTCTCCCGTTACAGTTGATAATTCTTTATATTCAGCTTTCTCTATTAAAATTTCTGGATGATTTCTCTCTCCTAACTGATACATAGAATAACTAATAATGAGTAATGCTAAAGTCATAACACACTAACACTGCTTAAAATTAACCCAAGTTAACCGAAGGACAATGCCTACCTGTTAGCTTTTTATTATTGTCACTATAATTTTATTTTGACACCAGGAAAAAAATTAAATTTTTGAATATTTTAATTACATGTCAAATGTTAATAATAAAGACTTGTTAGTTGAGTAATGTGAAAAAGGTAAACACTTAAGAATTTTTATTTTGTCAGAAGCTGCTGCGTGAGTTACACAAATATTACCCTATTGGGTTCTATTTTTAAAAAACTTCAAGGCATATTGTTGGTGCCCCACTATATAGACAAGGTAACTGAGACTAGAAGTTAAGTAACGTGCTCAAATTCATATAATCCATAAACAGTCAAGCCTAGATTCAAAGCCAGATTCTCTTGAACTCCAGAGTTTTTTCTTAACACAACTCAAAGCATCAAGGCAGCTTCTGTGGAAAGTCTGAGCCAGTCATTTTCTGCATCAACACAACAGCAGTTGTGCTCCAGGCCCAGAGTTGCTTTCTTTCCTGCTTTTC